AAGTGATGGAACCCGTAAGCAGCAGGATTTGCCTTAGGAATTAGTTTTCTATGAAAATCGTACAAAACACAATGAAATTCGTAAAAAGAAGGTAAAGTGACAGTAGCACGGCCGCTAGGTATAAGAAAGCATTAACACTTCTGGTTTTAACCCAACTGGGTCGAAAAACATAAAAAAACCCGACCTAAAACTAAATATTTCAAACGGCAGATTTCGGGTCCTGACTTCAACGAATTATTTGGAGCTTCTAAACTCTGAATCATCCGCTGCCTCAAACATAAAAGTTGCAACTCTATGTCTTAGCTTTCCAACGCCTATTAGATATCAAATAACCGCTAAAGCTGAAAATAAGATGCGAAAATAAAATAAAGGTAAAAACAAACTTAAATATGAAAACACATTAAAATAGTAAAAATAATCAAATAAACTGTAGGAATGCCTAAGTATAGCAATGGAAAAATGTGTATGAAGATGTACTGATCATTTCACCTGGGCAAGATCCTTATGTTAACTAAGGATGGGGAGAGTGGCAACAAACTGGATGGACTAACCAAGGCACCTCCTACATGCCTCCTTCTCCATCTCAATATCAAACCGATAATTCTGAAGTTCTTGAGATGCTACGAAATATGCAGCTTCAACAAGAGAATATTCCAGCTATCCAAGAAGAAAAGTTTGAAGCTATGAAGGGTCAAGTTCAAGCGCAAAATGATAATTTTGATTTGTTTGCGTCAACAATTTTGAGCAGGTTTAATATTGTGGCTGAAATAGCAGCAAGTCAGTATTGTGATCTTTCAGTTAGCTTCAACACGCTCAACAGTAGTGTTCTTAGTTTGACTGAACGCTTGGATTCTCAAGGACAACATCATGATCACTCATTCAGGGGGAGAGGTCATCCACATAGGGGGAGAAGACCTTAGATTGTTGTGTTGTGTTGATGTCATGCATGTCATTAGCATTTTATTTTGTGTTTGGTGTGTTTTTTTTTTTGCTTGACTTGAGACATGTAATGAACAAATTTTGGTGTGTAACGCATCAATATTTCTTTCATAAGCAACATTATATGTGGATGTTTGTTGATGAAATTATATCTGCTGCAAAGCATATGGTTGCATACATATGAATATGACTTGATTACAAATGTCTGTGTGCTTCACTCTTTTTTATGTTGTCAAAGGGGGAGAATGCGAAAGCAAGTATATTCACAAAGAAAGATCAGAATTTCACAAAGGGAAAAGTGCATACAATCAGGGGGAGAATGTTCATCACAAAGTACTCAATGTGTGGAAAGTTTTACAGGATTTTGCCATCATAAAAAGGGGGAGTATGTGAGGGCAAGGTTCCTCAGTGCTTTGTATTAATGATATCAAAACTAGGAATATTTCGTACTTATGTGCTTTGGACGGTATCATCTCGTCTTAACTTGCATTCATCCTTTAATATGTGTAAAATGATCCATACATGTATATAGACATACCAGATTATTCCTTATGTGTAAATTTTGCATTAGATCATTTTTGATACATTAGGTCGACTTATACAGGGCTTAGGTCAACTCACAGTTGACAAAATTAGTGTTTGTGGCAATCTGGCACCCTTGCATCGACTCATAGATGTGTGGAGGTCAAAGCATACTGATGGAAAAACAATATTTTACTCTCGGGTGCTCTTGTGTCGATGCATGGCTAGGTTCAGATTGATGCACAACTTAAATTTATGCGCAAAATTGCTTTCTGGCATGTTCAGGTCGACTCATAGAATGTTGAGGTCGACCTCTCGCTCATTTAAGCCTATTTTTCTGCATCTTGGTGTTTCAAAAAGTTGTTATTTTCTATTATGTTTTCATATATATATATATATATATATATATATATATATATATATATATATATATATATATATATATATATATATATATATATATATATATATATATATATATATATATATATATATATATATATATATATATATATATATATATATATATATATATATATATATATATATATATATATATATATATATATATATATATATATATATATATATATATATATATATATATATATACATACATATATTCATATGCATCATTTTTTCGTATAACAACCAACAAGAAAAGTGAAAATATACATTGAATTGCTCATCATCTTCATTCTCACATTTGCCTTCTTCAACAATCACACATAATAATCTTTCTTGATCATTGCTTTGTTGAGGTGTTAACGTTCAAACTTAGGATTTGTATATCGTAGTTTTGGTTGAGAATTCGGTGGATTTTTCTTGAATAAAACCTTTGGAATTTTGTCCTCCGAGATCTTGAGGATTTGGGGATTTTGCACAAATCTTTGTTTCACAAATTCATTCGAGTGAAAGGCTTAAGAAACGGTGGGTTCGGTCAAGCAAGTAACGGTAACCAGAGGATTATGTTGAAAGATTTGGGGTCGAACATCTTACTATTAGAATCAACCGATTGAAAGACTTGAAGATTCAAGTGAGTAGCGGTAATCAGAGGTTTGATCGAAGAGTTTAATATTCTTGATTCGGCTGTAATCAAGGGAAGAAAAGTAAATATAATCAACATCAACAATTAGGTTTGAGTGTATGGCAGCTATAACTTCTCTTGTACAAAACTTTGCAACTTGATATTATACATATCTCAATTCTAGTTTTTAGAATTGGGGGCAGACGTACCCGAAGCGAGGACGAAAAGAGGAATTGCATAAACAAATCGGCTGTCGTTCTCTCTTTCTCTATCTCTTTACTTTGTGTTGTTAACATTTGCGTAATATCAATTATTCGATAATTTTTCTGCTGTAGTGTAGTACTGAAAAACTGTTTTGGAAACTAATTGCAATCACTTTGGTTGCAATTGTGAAAAATTCTGCAATATCATTTCATAGGAAATTGAACTTAAGGTGTTGTGCACACCAAGTATTCGACATATTGATCGCACACAACCTGTTTGTAAAATTGTCAATTTAATTTTACCTAAATAATTCACTAGAAACCGGTTGATTCAAAGTGGTCTTAATTTGAATAATTGATTGTGAAAATTGTTGATTCGTTTATCTCATCAATTTCATTCTGTAGCATATTTGATCTTACCAATATGGTTCGTTTAGACGATTATCAATCCACGGCCGCTTCCGCATATTTTTTTAAACACTTTTTAAGCGCTGATTTTTGTTAAAAATTAGTGATCTATTCACCCCCTCTGGATCATTGTCATCGTCTAACATCTTCTTCCAATTGTCATACAAATGCATAAGACACAAACTACACTCCTTCATTTCTCTCTTTTTGACTTTATGGGATCGTCATCTTCGCCAAACCAAACACCTCTAAAACACAACTATATAACTTCGAAGTGTACAATTGAACGAAGGGTTTTAATGGTGGATTAGGGAATGAAAGAACGATGGTGTGAATTAGGGCAAAAAAATTTTCCTAGTAATGAATGAAGGGTTTCAATGAGGGATTTTGGTTTTTTTGCCTTCTAAAGAACGATGGTGTGAACCAGGACAAAACTTTTTACTTAAGTCTATATTAATGTTTTCAGCAATTTAATAATTTGTTTCTTTGATTTAAAAAATTAATTTTAAGAGTTTTTTAAATAAATTATTCATTTGGCATTTTAATATTACGATTTGATGACATGGATCTCGTATTAGGCAGCCAACTCATTAAAAAACATGTCAAATAAGCAAAAAAGATAAGGGACCAAGTAAATTCGAAGCGGATCTAACTTAAGGGACCAAATTCAGGTTTTGTAATAAGGGGAGAATTGTTTAAATTGTCCAAATTAAAAGGACCAAAAGTGCATTTAAGTCAAGAAAAATTTAAAGAATTGGAAAAAGAAATAATAATAAATGATAGAGGATAGGTTGGAAAAAAATTCATTATTGTTGCATTGGAATTGTAAAGTGATTTGTAATTTAGGACATGTTTTTGATAAAGTGACTTATAATTTGGAAGAGAGGGAGTACATCTCATCTCTTATACTCTTATACTCTAATATCTCCTCTCTTTGTTCATTATTTTTCATTTTCTCATTTTTATTTTATTTTATTATTTTCTCTTTCAATTATGTTTTTATCGCATATTTTTTCTCTAATCTCGCATATTTTTTGTTCTTTCTTTTTCATCTTCTCTAATATCTTTTCTCCTTTGTTTTTTCTTTTTTGTTATAATATTTTTGATATTCTTTTACTCTAGTATTTTATATTTTTTATTCCACTTTTGTCTAATCTTGTTTTTTAATATTAAATGAGAAGTTTTTGTCTAAATGTGATGAATTTTTTTTATTATTTGGTAAAATATAAATGATTAAATATAAAATTATGTTGTTTTTTATAGGTGTACGTATATTTAATAAATTTTTTGTAAAAAATCAAACCAACTGATCCACCTCAAACCGCATTGATTTGGTTCAATTTGATTCGATTTTATTTTTAAAAGTTAACATAACCAAACCAAACTACATGTTTTTTTCTCTGACGTCAAAACCAATCAAAACGCGCAACGAACACCCCTAATGAGTATTATAAAAGAAGAATAGATTGGACGCTTCACATGATTTTTGAATGATAATTTATTAAACAACTTTTATCTTTAGAAGTCCAGCAAACTCCACTTCAAATTGAAGAGTTTTAGTATATGCAAGAATTATGTTGAAAGAGAGTAAACAAGATAAACATATGATAAATATGATAAATCTGTTTTTGAACTATACAGCAGAGTCAATTTTATAGACTCAAGGAAATAAATACAAACTATGATAAATACAGAGACCGAAATATATTTTCAAAAGATTCGATATCATAAGCTTGTCATTTGGCAAATGACAGGTTGTAAATTAATCTCTTAATAACTGAGCCTCAAGGCAAAGTTATTGTTCAGCCTAAGAAGCAGCTAAATATGATGTACAATGCTCTGTGATGAGATGGTATCACACTTCATGAAGCAGGAAAAGAAAGGCTACATCTCTTCTTTCTTCAAGAGCAACATGCTTTTAAGATATCTTCAATTTCTGGGTCATCCCCTGCTTCTTTGTCCTACTCACGTGAACAAATTTCGCATAATCATAAAAAATTTAAACAGGTATACCATGAATATTCCAAGGAGATATATTTTATAAAAATCGGAGTATAGGATTCTCATGCATACCTTGTGAATGTATGAGATGTTACCTTTACCAGGACCTGCAACAATAATCCCTCCTTGTTGCCTGCCAATGAGGCAAGTTCATAATATTAAGGAAAAGCTATGAGAAGTTCAGCCCAGCACAGATTGAAGGGCATGACTCAATTAAGTGTCGATGACTTGGTTACAAGAGAAATGATTTAGAATCGCTTAGAAGATCTATCTCATGATATAACTATTGTATATTTAAAAAAATTTAGTTTCTTAGATGATTTATTGGGAGAAGTTTCCATATATATTTTTATCACAATTCACATACATAACAAATAAAAAAAAGTCTAAACAGAGTTTTCTTCTATGAGCAAGCAAGGAATGGGCTTCTCCTATCTTCTATTTTAAATCATAGATTCAATGTAAACACATCTTTAAGATTTTTCGCAAAACAAGAAATGATAAAGAAGACACAACAGAAGATCCATTTAGAGTGGCATAGATAATCAGATAATGTGACAGTATAGGACTTCTTGGAAGATAATTCACATACCACCCTCCTCTGCTAACAGTATCCTTTTCAAATGAAAGCTTCCAATCTTGTCGATAACCTTCCATGTACAATTCTATTATCTTAAGACCTGCCTGTGATTAACAGCTAAAATTAACACAGGTGTCTTTTGTATAGTTAACAAAAAAACTTCAATTTATAAGCGTATACATCACTCAGCCATTACTTTGGGGGTAAATGTGGTTAAAACTCCAGAAACAAATCTTAAGGCCTCATACGACGATTGAGCAGGGTCTGCATAGATTTCTAGAACAGGTAACAAGATTCTGTTATAGAGCTGATATATAAGATGATTTACGATACAGAAACTAGCACAAGTAATAGGTCAAATCTAAAGTACCTCCTTTAAATTTTGTTTGCTCAGCAAAGGATTTGGCCTGGTATTAAATATAGGTATTAGCTGCAAAATTAGATCAATCAATTCAGAATTCTAAGATGTTACGAGAATGCAGAAAATGTAGCATACCTGATCAATGTTGCCAGGTCCAATCAATACAAGTGCTACACCAGATGCATCCATTATATCCTGTTGATATAGCATAATCAAAAGTAGAGAAAGTAAAATGCAGCTCACAACATGAGTAAGCAAAAAAAATTACCTTCTTTGATGCAAGATAATCAGCCCTTTTGCGGCAAAGTACACACCTGCAAAATGTACATGCATATTCAATAGTTAATTTGTTACACAACTCAATTACAAGAGATAATCGCGTCTAAATTAAAGAATAGCTTGATTTGTAAATCATTCGACAGAAAATCACCCGAAATGACGAGCAAATGCGACAACAGCTTTCCTATCTTTCCACAAGTCAGAAATAGGAATCCCATTTCCTTCCAAATCAAACACTTTCACCAAATCCAATGAACTCGAGGTGTCCTCACTCAGCAAAGGAGACTCAACTCCTGTTCATATCCAATCATTGAAACAATTATCAGCAATCAAAAAGGAAAATGTTCAATAGAACTATCATTTTCATTATTATAAACATTGTATATGCAAAGAAAGATGAAATTATAATAGAATAATTTTGGTACAACCATAGTCACATAACTGTTTTCAACTCATTTCAATAAGTTCTATAGAATAGCTTATGAAAAAAGCTGCTTATATGAAAATAACTTGCCTGCAGAACCAGAGGCAAAGGGTATTGTGGTGGTGGTGGTGGTGGTGGAAAGTTTGAGAGGGTTTTTGGAATATATTGGAAGTTTTTGGTTTAGTGAAACTGTGGGGGATACATGTAGCCTATTGTGAATTGTGATTTGGTTAATATGAAGTGAATTTGATAAGAGTGTTGTAGAAGAAGAAGACGCCATTGAAGACTTAGAAGTGAATGTTTCGTTTTCATCTTTCTGATTTTGAGTTTCTCTCGGTTTAACTAGTTCAGAAAACGACAAATTAGATGTAGAGAGATTGTAACCATGAGAATAACATACGTGGCATATTGTGTGGCATAATAATTCTAGAAATATTTAGAATTTTCTTCTCACCATTCCTCACTCATAATAATATTTATTTTAATTATATATATATATATATATATATATATATATATATATATATATATATATATATATATATATATATATATATATATATATATATATATATATATATATATATATATTGTTTTTATTTTTAATTTGTTGATATTTATAAGAATAAGATTAAAGAAAGTTTAATTTACATTATTTTTGTATTTATTTATATATAAATATTAATAGTATTTCAAAAAAAAAAATTGTAATATGTGATTGATATTTATATATTAAATTATAATTTTTTTTTTATAATTATAAATTTATTTTATGAAAACGTATGATGTGTGTGTATGACTTAATAAAATTCTCGTAAAAGATGAATCAATTTAAACCACCTTAATTTAATTTGGTTTGGTTTAATTTAATTTTTATTTATTAAATATCAACCAAACTAAAAACTGCTCATTCAAAATTCCTCAAACTGCATCACTGATCGTTCCGTAAGTGCACGAAAATATCGAAGTAATATAAAAGATTGTCGAACCCATAGAGACCAATGTCAATCTACCATTATCTGTTATTACGGCGTAAAGCTAAGGCTATTGGAATTAGGAAAATTGAATGCGAATGAAATTAAATGCAAAAGAAATAAAGATAATTGGTTTAAAGAAATGTGGTAAAGGATATCGGTATGCAAAGACTTAGTTATCTGAGATTCGACGGGTCACCGATGCTTTCTACTCTTTGCAAACATTGTTCAGAAGAAAATGACGGTTTAAAGACCTTTGTCTCACGATGGTTGTTGACGCTAGTCGCAACTCTAAGGCGGAACGTATGCTGTCGCTATCCCGTTCGGGGTTTAAATTACTTTTTGAAAACCATTAAGTTCTAATCCCTTTTAAAGCGTTGTCGCTGTTTTTAAAACGAATGCCTAGTTTTTACTATATGGTCCTAGCCTTAGTTGTCGCTTGTTGGTTCGTACCTTAATATGGTTTCCCACTGTCGTGGCAAAACCACCGTAAATAGCTTCTCACTGTCATGACAAAGGTTTATTTAGAAATTAGCACTACAACAAAAATGACTTTAGGCAACAGAGGAATAGACAACGACGGTAAAACCGTCCCTATAAGTAACATAGGCTACGCATTTTTACGTGTTGACGTTTTTTTTTCAAAACCGTCCCCTATTTATTATATGCTACGGTTTTGAAAATGTGGTTATAATATAACCGTCGCGTACTCACTTCTATCCACAGTTTCATAAGTGTAGCATATAAGAATCGTAGCTTATTCCTTTTTTACAACGCTTTTGAAGTGTGGTATTTTGGTTTCTATTTTTTTTAATTTAATGTTAATTATTCGCATATAATTAAATGTACAAAGTGGGGATCGAACCCCTGTCCTTGAAGTTCTCTAACTCAAACTTAAAAATAATATGATTGAAAAATTAATTCAAGAAAAATGGCAAAATCAAGACTTGAACTCAAGTACCATGCTTTGTAAAAGACCTCACTACCACTGGAAAAATAGCACCATATGATTTTAATTTTAATTCGAAAGTTATTAATTAATTAACCTATACTAAAACTTGAAAATTTTCATCAGAAAAATACCAGTAGCACCATATAGTTTCTAAAAATTAGGGGTTGTTTAAACCCTAACTTTTTCATTTCTCTGCACGAGAACGCAAACTGTAACACTTTCACCCTCATGCCGGCAACCGTCCTCCCTCCTCTCATCCGTGAATTGCAACCGTCCTCCCTTCTCTCATCAATGAAGGTGGCAATTCTGTTTCAACTGTATTATCTTCTCATGCATGAATCGCTAAATTACATATAGCACCATTTGACCCTACTAAGAAGAAAAAGAAGAAGAAAGTTACAGTTATAGATCCTGCAGTTGATGAATCGGTGGATAAGTTGGCTCAGAAGACTGAAAATCTGTCGGGTATGAAAATTATAACAAGCATTAGCAATCTCTTGTCATGGTTTATGTTTTCAAAGTTATCTGAAAATGGGGCTTAGGCAATGTTGATTCTCATTAGCTATTCACTTGCAGTTGCTGATGAGGCAGAGTCTTCATTTTCTGGTTTGAAAAAGAAAAAGAAGAAACCTGTACGTCTCTTTTTTCTAGTGTTCAAGTTATTTTTTTGGCTAGAGTTGTTGGGAGAAATTTCACTCTTGGAAGTTTGTTATTTGATGATTGTAGGTTGAAATCAGCAACATAATTGAGGAGAATGGAGAAGCAGCTGAAGATTTGGAAGGTAAATAGTCTAATAAATGTAAACATTTTTGTATTGTTGGTGGACTGTGTGCTTTAGTCTTGGACAATGTTGTTGATGGCGGATGGCGGTCCGTGAAGAGGATAAAGTTGAGGAGTTCATCAAGGAAGTAGGAGAGCTGGCTTTACATTTTTGTGAGTGTTATAAGCTTATGGTTCTGAAAATTAGTTCTAAGTTTGAACTGCATCGATATTTTCATACAACCGGTGTTGTTGCTATGTCGAAGCTTATTTCCATACAACCGATATTTCCATACATGATATCAACACACTAGATACATATTGGAAGAGAAAAGAAAACATAATAGTACTTTGTTTGCATCATTTATATATCATGAATTACTATTTAATCACTTTTTCTTAATATCAAGAAGACCCACACGGGTAACTCCTTCATCATCCAAGGGTCCAACATCGTTGAATGTCTGACCAGTCATTTGATCCACCGCTTTCAGCCTCTCCGCCACTGCTCATGTTCATGTGTCTTCAGTTCTGATCACACCCTCATTTCCACGCCTCCAGGTTTCCTCTTTCTTCCTTGCCTCTTCATCTGCTTCACTCAGCTTCTCCTGCATTCACCATCCATGTCCAAATTCCACAACCATTACTTCATATTTCTAGATTAAAAACATACTAAAAAAATTTAAAATGAAGATAGTACCTTTGCCTCAGCTGTTTTCTGTTTAGCTGCCTCAGCAGTCTCTGCTGTTTTTTGCTTAGCAGCCTCAGCAGTCTCTGCTGTTTTCAAGCTTTGTGTCTCTAGTGATTGTAACCAGTATAGGCAAGTTTTGATTCGGTTATGAGTACTCTAGTGTGAAATATTATGGGCTTAATTTTGTTCCATTCTCACAAAATGGATGGTTTAAATCCGTGTTTAGGTTTTCGTTTTAGTTTGTAGTTCTGTTTTTATGCTTGTGTCTGTTCATAAGATCGGCGATGAATTTCGACGTCAGGGTAACATTGCGGATACTGCTGTTTTTCTATCAATCACTTGCTGACCTATTTTTCTTTTGTATCGCAGGAAGATAGCAAAAAGAACTTTAACATCGGCGATGAGATGTGAGTAATCTGATCAAGCTTTTCTAGTAAGGGAATTCCAGTAATGTCTGTTGTGGATGATAACTAACTTTGATGTATACTGCCAATATGCTTGTTTGGATGCATATAAGTGCTTAGGATTTAGATTCAAGCCAAACTAGTTTAATGGATGAAATGTCCAATTTAAGAATACGGGCATCCCTTCAACAAAAAAGGAGATTATGTGTCTGGTTGGGTGCAAAGGAAGCTGTTAGAAAGGTTGGCGTTATCAAAGCTGTTAGAAACTGTCTGGATACTTCTGAAGAAGTTACAGCATTATGGATCTCCATACCATTCACTGTTTATTCAAGTGTATATGATAGTTGTGTTTTGATGTGCGTGTGTGCTTTTGTGAAAAAAAAGGGTTCTTCGATTTCCCTCTCACTTTCTGTGTAAACGCCTTTTTGTGAGTCTCCCAACCTACCCCTCTATCTTCTGACTTGGTCCTCTTATGTGCAGGTCAAGATCCGCAGGAACACGACGTTAAGGAAAATAAAGGCTCCTTCCATTTTTGTTTCAGCGCATCATCAATATGTCGGAGAAAGCTGTTGGCGGATTGATTGTGGGTGCATGGCTGATAAAAGGGAGTTGATAAATGTGTCGAAACTATCAATTGATGAAGGTAAACCCGTTTGGAACATGTTGTTTATGTTTACGAGATTTCCTTTCGGGGAGGGACATGTTTGGGGACTGCTTTAGAAAGAGTTTTAAACTTGTCTCAAGCATGTTTACTGTTTAAAATTTGTTTCATCATTAAAATTCTATTTAAATTTTCAGGTACACTCTTTTTTGGGTGCTTCTTTTGGCTGCCAAATTTTCATTTAGCTTTTTTGTCCAGGTAATTTTTAGATGTGTAGTTTGTTTTCCTAAAATGTTTTGTGAACTTGTTTGGTCTCTTTTGAATATTGTCTCTGTTCAGATCAAGCCTCTTGTTAAGCAAACTAAAGATATAATGAGCATTCAACATGTTGAGTTTGGCTGGCATGAGTTTTTCCCAAATGGTAGATTCTTCTCATTTCTAATTATTCAATTCTGTCTTTCTGTTAATTCTATTGATCTAAAATTTCCCTGTTGTGCAGCTAAAAATAATTATGGTGCCGTTGTCGCACTCTGGGCTCCTGTACTTATGGTAAGGTTGATGCTACAGTTGGAAAGCCCCGTGTAAACTTCAGAGAAACTGTTACTCAGCATGCTGATTTTAATTATTTACGTAAGAAGCAATCTGGAGGGCAAGGACAATATGGACGGGTGATTGGGTATGTATAGATTAGCCATTCTTATGCTACTCAAATAAGTTTTAGTGTTTGATTCTAGTAATTAATTTTACAAAAATTCAATAGAAGTGGCCAGTCCTACTGATAGAAAGTGTTTTTAGGAGAAAATGATAAACAGTGATGGAAACTTTGACAGGAGTTTGAGATAAAATGAGAATGTTAGATTTTAGAAGATGAGGGATATCTTAAACTATCTTGATATATT